ACATGTAAAAAAATATCATTATGTACTTGATGTAATTTGCCCTGTGGAGTATATATTTTTATTTATTAATAAAGCAATGACATCATGTGTAAATATTAGAACTGCACATGAAGAGAATACATGCAAAAATTTATATTGCGACAACATTCCCAACTAATTGTTTTACGGCTGGAATTATAAAGCCTAATATGCCCAACTTCTTCTTTTTATTTCTTTTTTCTCCCAAACACGTATGTCAGGATAGTTAACCTCCATCCAATGCTTTGCCCTCTCCAACTGCCCCTGATTATCAAAATATAAACACAAGGTTTCATCTAACCGGTTCCACCAACAGAATAAGTTCAAAGCTGTAAAACACTCCATCACCTCTTTGTCCCTCCAATCCTGAATTGTATCACCATCAGTGATTTCAAGAACTTGTTTTTTCCCAGTAGGTTCAGGTCCGTAGCCACATGAGAAATACTTATAACAAATATCCAAAGGTTTGAAAAGCACTTTTGATTTAAGGTCATTAGAAATTCCTAAAGGCAAGTTATTTTGAGTATGCACTTGGACAACCCATGTGACTTCAAACACAACAATATTTCCATACCAGAACTCCAGAACCATATCTCGACTGCCCACCCTTTATTCAAAACTCGATTTATTACTGGAACATAGTCGCCATCACCAGCAATTAGCACTAATATACCAGGATTATAATTTTGAATGGTATCCATCATGGAGGCACCAATTTCCATATCAACCTTCTTACGGTTTTCAGCATTCTGATCATACACTGTTACCTCATATCCTTGTTTTTGAATGCGTTTCCATAGCGAGTCATTCGGGGGCAGACGAGAACCAACGAGAACAGGTGCACCACCAAGGCCATGTCCATCTTGAACTAATGCAAGAAGTTGTCCATATTCGATATGAAGCTGATTAATATGGTACAAAATTTTTTCAGCGTCAAAAATATACTCAAGTTGGCCAATATTAAATTTTCCCTCAATAAAGACGTTGGAATTGTCAATATACACATGTACAAGCCCAGTAGATCTAGCTACATGAACCCTTTAGTAAAATTTATATATCTGTGAAGATCTGCACCCAGAATTTAAAATACACTTACGTTTTTTAAGTTCATTGATAAATTCTGCAATTCTTATGGCTGGTCCTCCTGGAAGATTAAATGCTAGAAGATCTTTTTTAGTCAGAAGGAAAAAGTCTCGACCAGAAACCTTTTGTTTTTCAAATATTCTAAGTTCCTCCTCATCGAGATCTAGCTCTTTATGTCTTCGTAAAAATTCCATAAGTTCACTCCTCGTCATCTTTTTAATTTCGTCAGGTGGTGAGAGAACATCTTTTTCTGTTATTGTAGTGGGAGTGGCCATGGCGTTTCTTTTACAGGTAAATTGGTAGTTAATATTAATATTAATCTAATCGGGAAAATCTGTCATGTGACAAAATCATACATTAATGGGGCTGTGCAAACAAATTTCTTTACATCAACTATTATTTCATGCCTGCGTTTAAGAAAGATCCTGTAGAATATATTTACGGATTTCCCTCTGATTTTTGTGAAGAAAATGGTCAAAGAATACATAGGAGGTAAGTACTATATTGTATATGTGTTGCAGAAGATCAAGGTTATGGATTAAAATGAAAGACTTGAATCTATGGAATTGACATGCTCAGATCTCACGCAACAAAAAATTGTGCGAGTTCCAAAATTTAGCTACAGAGTAGCCTCACTCCATGAGTGGCAATGCTATTATATCTAAAGAGGATGGGGTATATTGATGAGACTATATCAAAGAAGTTAGAATGCTCCTCAAAGATACAGATGTCAGTATGGATCTGGATAATTATGATTAATCAAGCAAAAAATATAGATATGTGAACTTATTATTATTATTTATGAATAGCAGGTGTTCTGGGCCAGAACGATATCATATGACATACACAGTGGATCTACGTGTTGATTATATATGATATATTTATTAACAAATTATACAGTAAAGCGAAGGTGAGTGTCAAATATTCTATTCATGGGATGAGAAGTTTTCCACGATATACTTAACCTCATTTCTTGTCAAATCTGAAAAACTAGATGCAGTAAAGGATTTAACCTGCCGGATCTTATCGTTCTTTTGTGTACCATAGCCTGACTGAGATCTTTCAAAAGTTTTTCTTTAACTACGTCAATATCAAAATACAATTTATGAAATTGATTAGATATGTCTTCCATATTGGCATCTTCAGAAGATGTGTTGATTAACGGTTCATCAGAGATTGGAATGACGGATAACTCTTTCATGTTTTTGTGCCCCTGGCTTGCCTTGACAAGTATCTTCTTTTTCTTGGAATTTTCTTTTCTTTCTGGATGTCTCGTGAATAGAAATGACTGAGATATTGCCTGTTGGGGCAGTACCTATCATGGCCAGTAATTTGTTTTCGCCTATGTTTATGTATGCGATTCTTGCTTTTTTGATACTTGCAGTTATATGGTTTGTGGTAATTAAGCCTATACGAGATGCAAGGAAAAAAGAGTACTCAAAACGTGCTTTTATATAAATAAATTTTTCGGTAGTAAGAATAAATTTTTTGATTCGGTAGTACATAAAAGTATGATCCAATTTTTCGATCCAAAGTAATACACAAAAGTGATACATAAAAGTATGATCCAATTTTTTGATCCAAAGTGATATGCAAAAGTATAATCCGATTTTTTTTTTTTTTTGTTCAGTGAGGTCTGATTAGTTTATTTATGTTAATGATTTTTAATATACATGATTATATATATCTATACATTTATATTAGAACAAAATAAAACTAACTCGATCTAACTTACGGACCCGTATTTTAAACCGCGACCTACCACCAAGTTTCATTTTTTTTTTTTTATGTTTGGAGAATTAATTACATGATCACGTGTAAAAATACAATCATGAACATAATAGATGCCACATTAATTTATGATATATACGAATATATACACATATATAAAAATGAACCAAATCCAAGTCCAAGTAAGTACTGAAAACTGTTTAATATTTTCTAGTCATTCTTTGGTCTAATAATTTTTGTTTTTTTATTTTTAAATTAGAATCAAATTTATAAATGCAATCTGTGTCAACATGATTATGAGTATAAAAATATTAATGGTTTACGAAGACATGAAGCTCAAAACCATAAAGAATATAATAATCCGTCTGTAAGTATATTATCATTAGAAGTTACTGAATTTTTGGTTAGGCAATTTAAACAAGAAATTATATCTGGTTTTTGGAGTTGCTACAAAAATAATAGAAGTGGAAGAGGATGGAAAAAATTTGTTCTAGTTATTATTATTATATTATAGAAATTAAAAATAAATATTATTTGCAAACTTATAACTGCTTTTACACTACTAGTTCTAACATTATTATTATACATTTTTGAGTACTTGGTCAATCAATGATAACAAAGCTCAACACCTGGATAATCGACCAGTCAATAAATTCAACGCCCAGATAATCGGTCATTCACGATAAAGCTCCAAACGGTTCGGTTTGGTCCGGTTTAATACCCATTTCAGTTTTTCGGTTTAATTTGACCCAAAAATTTCAGACATTCTAAATTCGTCAATTACGCAAAAATATAAATAATAACTTCAAAAAAATTATAATAACTTGTAGCTTAGTTTAACGGATGTGTTACGAAGTAAAGATGCCGGAAGGATCCTGTTTCTAAATACATACATAATCTATAATTTTATATCATGGTAACGATGGTATGGAGATCATGATTGAATTTTATACATAATGTCATGTTTAGATACAGGTGGTCGGTTATAGGTCGGATCGTTACATATTCATAGATTCACCACAAAAATTTGTATGTTTAGAGTTCCTATTCGTAATACAAATGCTTATTCGAATTATTCATTCTATTCATTTTATTCGCTTTATTCGAATTACTTGTTTTATTCGTTTGTTCATTTTATTCGTTTGATTCGTTTTGTTCGTTTCATTCGTTTTATTCGAATTATTCATTTTATTCGTTTCATTCGTTTTGTTCATTTCATTCGTTTATTCGTTTTATTCGTTTTATTCGAATAGAAATCCCAAGGACATTCTATTTTTTCAATTTATATATAAAATTCATCATCTCCACAAACTTTTAAACTCTTATTGTTTCAGGTTCTAAAATACAAAGCCTTTGAGTAATTTAAGTCTGTGCCTCCAGAAAAACCTCGTCCACTGGTTGTTATTAGATTAGAATTAGTGGGTTTGGTTCTAAATAAGCAAAGTGCAAAAATTAGAATATCAAGAACTGCCAAGTAGTTTTTTAGCCTAAGTTCGGTTTGACTTTTTAGAATCCGAAACCGAACCGTTCAGAGCTTTATTCTTCACTTTCTTCATCTTCAATATCACTCTCTTCTACATCATACTCCTTGTCATCCACTGCTTGAAATTTAACATTTTTCAACAAAGGCTCTAAATTCATTGTATTGAAGCTGATGAGTTATATTGCTAATGTTCTCATCAATATGGCCAGTTTTGATAAGTTCCATATATTTGGGACCACCAATTCTAATACTTTGGTTAGTAAATGGGTTGATAAAATGATTTTTTATTATTACATCATGTTTTTAAGCCTAAATCGAAAAACTTTACATGTTAAGCATGTTAAGCATGCAAAGTTTTAAAAAAAGATTGAGATTCATATAACAAAATTTATAATTTAGATATATACTGTAAATGTCTACACATAGCGTAGACATCTTCGTAAACTAATTTTGTTAAAAAGACATTATCTTTGGTGTTCCCACATACTCAATTTCTTCTCTGACCTCTAATAGATCACCAGCATCAATGGGTTCCTACTATCATCGAGGGATTTTAGTGCATTGCTAATATAGCCAAAAGTTTTAATAGTATATTCGAACATTTTTGTTTTGTTTTTATATAGAATGAGAAATGTTTAATTCGAAAATTTATTAATTTTTAGAGTTCTTGTTTTGGTATTAGCTGCTCCACTTTGCTATGCAGATTGTATTCACTTTGTTCTCTGTATATTTGTGTATTGAATTTTATTTCAGTTCTTTGACTACCTGTTTTATGCTCCCTGATAACTACCTTGATTTCAAGTATATGTTTCATAAATACTATGATGAATTTTTGTTTCTTTGATGTGTGGTCTGAAACATGAATTACCACGTTTCTATGTGACTAGAAAAAAAATATATATATTATACATGTGGATTATGTCAAAACTGATGTGAAATTGGTTTCTGAGACACCCTGTGAATATAAACTGGATAAAAATTGCAGCAATAGTATATTATACAACAGGTGCAGGCTAATGCAATTTTCACAAAATCTAGTAGAATATCTTTGTTGCATTACATTTTTTTTTACATTCTTTTGGTTCACCATTTTTGTACATTGCATAATCTACGTAATTCAACATAATATTTATCATCATTTTCTAAGAGTTTAATGTGCTAGAAATAGGTTGATCATTTGACTCAATCAGGTGACTTTTTGACGCGAGTTGTATGAAAAACATAAATAGTCAAAGCCAAATTAATTTTGATAACATGTATGCATTTACTAATGATAAAAAAAATTCTTTTTTCGTGAATTTCTTCAAAAGATGTATTTGATGAACCATTATTATAAATATCATATGCAATTGAAACAGCATTATTAAAGGTTTCAGCATAAATTTTATATACAAAATTTCTTCCACCAGGTGGAAATAATTTATTATATTACTATTACTATTAGTAACGCAAAACTATCGCCGTTATATAGTAACATATTAAATGTTACTACTACTCTTTCCAGGTTTTTAACAAGCTAACTTTTATATTTTTCTATTTAATTAAAAATAACAATACAACTTAAATGGTTAATACAAACAGTTGATGTTGGTAATGGCGTGACGCGTTTTCGCAAATATATTTTTTATTTTATTGTTATTAGAAACATAAGCGAAGGTGAAATTTGGAAGCAAGCATTGGATTTCTTTAATTCAGAGCCAAATAAGTGAAATTTTACTAAAAAAATGATTATATATATAATAATATTAGTAGGAAAAAATTTTTTTTTTTGCTTTATCATCAATGCTTTATTTAGAAAACAAATAATAAATAATAAATTAATTTCTTTCTTTTTCTCTTCTTTTTATAATTTAACAATCACTGTTGAAATCAGCATAAAATTTTTCTACATCTTCAATATCATCTTTACTGCCCAAGAAAATAGGACATCTGGAATGAATAGATCCTGGTACAAGATCAAGCACTCGTTTTTTACCATCTATAGCTTTGCCACCAGCTTGTTCAGTTAAAAAGGCCATTGGGAAACATTCATACAAGATACGAAGTTTACCATTTTTTGATTTTTTGTCAGCTGGGTATGCAAAAATTCCACCATATAACAGTGTACGATGAACATCGGCAACCATTGAACCAATGTAACGAGCTGAGTAAGGATTTTTACCTTCTGGTGGATATTTGAGTGAATTGAAATATTTCTTACATGGTTCATACCAATATTTTTCATTTCCCTCATTTACTGAATATATCTTTCCACGAGATGGAATTCTGATCTGCGTTAGTTGAGCGGCAACAATGAGTGAGGAAATAAAGCAATTATTATTTATCTATTTAATTAACTGTAATAGTCGGATATATGTTTGTTTAACACTTACATTAGGATGAGTAAGGATAAATTCTCCAATCGCCTAA